AAAAAAAACTGCAAATATTCGAAAAAGTGACAAAACACCAAGCGAAAAAGTGACAAACAATTCATTCACAACTCTTTTTCTCACCCAACCCCCAGTTCTCTCTCTAATTTTCAACAAAAATTCAATCAAAATTGTTAGAAAACAAAAATACGTGCTTCTCTCTTCAAAAATCTTGATTACCAAAACAATTCTGCAAATTGCATTTCACTTTCATAATCTTTACACATTTAAAACATAAATACAGAAAAGTAACAAAAGTTAAAAGACATGGCAGTCCCCAAACCAAGAGACGCAGAACCAATGCATTATCGTCGGTACCTCCTCCACCTGCACCTCCTTCCAATCCTCCACCAGCACCAAAACCAGTGCATTGTCGTCGGTAGCTCCAGGTTGCCAACAAACCACATAGCTACCACATTTTTCAGTCACACAACCACACCCAAAGTAGTACGCTGCCACCACACCCCTTCGATCCACAGACGGTTCCACACCACAAACTCTATTATAGAAACTCGATTCTCCACCATAACCCACCAACCTAACCCTAATTCATTTTCCCAAACCCAAAGGTTCAATTCTACGACTGCCGCTTCAATCTCCTCTGGGAGCTACTTCATTCCAATTCTCCGACTGCTTCATTCCACAGGTAAGCGGCGACTCTTCAAGGTGGTGGGTTCAGCACCACCTACACCAACCACCACCACACCCAAACATTGCTACCACACCACCCAAACGCTAGTGCAACCAACGCCGACACCACTCAAATCGATGCGTCACTAGATCCACATCCCACAACCACATCCAATGCACCACCACATCCCCACTGCTTGCACAGATTCGCATCCTCCACCACCACCAAATCCTGTGACACTGATCCATCACCTGCAAATCCATCTGTGGGTTCTGCAATGCAAGAACAACTTACAAATATTTAAACCTCAAAAGAATACGGATGACCTTTGGATTGGGAGATTTACAGTTGGATTTGCTCGGATTTTGCTCGTAACTTCGCCTATGGAGATTTGGGGCTACAATGGGAGAGGAAGCATTTTTGAGGAGGAAGGAGGGATTTCGTGGTTTGGGCTTCTTGTTGTTAATCAGGTTGGGTTTTGGTTGGAGTTAATTAGGTGGTTTAGGACGTATTAAATACTTTCTTAAAATGTTTAATTAGTTTATTGGTTTTAATTAAAACACTTTTAAAAAAAAAAAAAAAGGGTATAGGGCCAAATTTTCCCTTTAAAAAAATGAATTTAATACACTGATGACATGTTTGGGCTCAATGAATTAAAATGGGCTCACAAAAATCAAGTTTAAGAAGCAGTCAAATTGCATTTTGGTTCTTACTTGGTGTCAAGTGAAACTTGATTTAGCATAAAAATCAAGTTGGCAGTGTGAAAGAATGTCTTTGGTTCCTTACATTTTTCTAGTTTTCCCTTTTTTCCCTCACTCACATCTCTCCTTCTCTACAAAATTACTATGTGATAACTTGGCTTTTAATTTGTTTTGAAATTTTGATTATTGCACCGGTTAAAATTAAATAATATTTACCGACTGGAATCATAGTCGGGAAATGTGGTATGCACAGTTTCAAATTTCTTGGTTGGCAAAGGTATGTATACTTTCCCCATCCAACTACTGTGGTCAGCCTATATTTTTTCCGACTTCGAACGGAGATTTTTCCCAACTAACCTAATATGGTTGGCCAAAGTTTACCTGACTTAAATTTCTTGGTCAGTGAAGGTATACTTTCCCTGACCAAATGCTGTGGTCAGCCTTTATTTTTGGGATACTTATAAAAATACCCTTAATGTCACTTTTTCACTTTTTAAAAAAAAAGTGACACAAACTCAAAAAAAAGTGACACACACATTTTTAAAAAGTGATACAAACTCAAAAAAGTGAAATACAAACTCAAAAAAGTGAAACAAACTAAAAAAAAATGACAAATACCGAAATAGAACCAATACACATGCTGATTAAAAAGTGATGTTTATTACTAAAAAAAGTGACAAATTTTTAAAAAGTGATAGGAAAAAAGTGACAAACACTGAAAAGTGACATGAATTTTAAAAAAGTGACAAAACGTTCTAAAAAGTGGCAAACGTTAAAAAAAAATGCAAATATTCGAAAAAGTGACAAAACACCAATCGAAAAAAGTGACACAATGTCACTTTTAAAAGTTTAGTGTCACTTTTTTTATTAAAAAATGACATATATTGTCACTTTTATTAAAAATTGATGTTTGTCAATAAAAAAAAGTGATAAAATCAAGAAGATGACTAAAAAAAGTGACAGCACTAATAAAAGTGACAAAAATACTAAAAAAAATGATACATACTAAAAAAAGTGACAAAAATTCAAAAAAGTGATATAAATTTTTANCTAAAAAAAGTGACAAAAATTCAAAAAAGTGATATAAATTTTTAAAATGTGACAAATTCAAAAAAGTGACATAAATTGAAAGAAGTTGCACAAATTAAAAAATGACGGACAATAAAAAAAAGTGTTAGTCAGTCTATTTATTTTTCTCATATATTTACAAGAGAAACTAGATAACAGCAACATTATCATCTTCATCTACAGGCCAAAGAGGAGAATCAGTTTCGTCAATTTCATATCGATTTTCAACCTCCTCTTCTTCTTCAGCATCCCACGAAAAACTAGCATATGAGGCTAGCACATAACAGTCATTGGGGTCAATTTTAACAGCTCGATCAAAATAAGCTTCGGCTCGAGCAGTATCCTTTAGTCTGCCATATTAGATCAGCATAGAGTGATAAAACACTGCGATCACTTGGATCAGCCAAAATTGCCATGCCACAGTATTCTTCTGCTTTTGCAAAATCTCCTTTCAAGAACTTGACATAATTTGCTAACAAGAGAGAATTGCTAGGATTTGCTTCAATCATTTTTTTGATAATAAGAATCTGTACTCTCATTCCCATTCCAGCTATTCGGATCTTGTGAACCGGATCCCAACCCATCATCCGACCCTCTTCCGTCACCATCCCGCACACCCTGCCACCACTTACTCCGCTTTCACCGCCCATCACAAAAGCTTGCGGCACACTTGCATTATCTGCTACCGCCACACGGGCTTCTTCCTCTGACGTGGTATAATATCGGATTCGGGTGATGACCTGATTGTTGAATTGGGTATCCGTGAATTAAAGATTGGTGATGAAGAGCTTCTCAATAACATTATTCTTTAACTTTCTTGGTTTGATTTTGAAGATCTATTTAGAGAAAGAGAAAGGAAGTTGTGCTACCTCTGAGTCCTCCATGTTGGAGGAGTGAGTGTCTGAAATTGTGTGAAATTGGTTGAGAGAAATCATTGATTTTGGGTTTGGTTGGGGTTGAATTGTATTCGTTTTTCATCTGAGAGAACGTATATTATACGGTTAATGGATGTTTTAAAAGTGAAAGGGTAGTAGTTAATTTTTCAATCAATGAGCCGTACTAGACCTAATTATCCCTTACTAAATTACGTCCACTAGAAACAGGGCTGGCCCTGGTCCAAGGCAAGTAAGGCCACTGCCTTGGGCCTCTAGTTTGAAGGGGCCTCTTAAAAAAAAGCCTAAAAATGCCTCAATCCAAAACCCCTCAAATTCCAACCGTCTTCTTCTCGACTTCTCCAACCATCTCTCTCCAAATTCCAATCATAAATTCCTTAAACGATTCATATTTTTATTGAACCCTTGCTGAAAATCTAAAGTACCAATTATCTTTTCTTCGTTATCTTTTCATCTATCTCATTTTGTGATTTCACTAATCTGTTTTTTCAGATAGAAGAGCAATCAGCAATGATTTGGAGAAAATGAAGACTGAAGAGGTTAACCCTCCATTTTGATTTCTCTATTATAAATTCTTCCCAAATGGAGACTTTGGTGACTAGGGTTAATAGTGAGTGTAAAATCAGGTGCTTGGATTCTTTTGTACAGAGATGTTCTAAGTTGCCTTTATAGTTTGGTACGTGGTTGAATTTCGAAGTCATTCCCTTTGATATCACGAGTGTTTGTGTTTTTTTATGAGAGCTGGGAGGCATAGAAATTTTATGTCTGAATTGTTATTTGTTATGTTGTTTTTGTTGGGCCGTGCTCTGTAATTCCTCCTATCTAACATACCATAAGTGTTGAATCAGTTTGTTTAGGAACAAAAATAAGGTTAATTGGATGCGTTTTTCCAGCTAAAAACCTGTTTCTGAAGGTCAAAAGTGCTGCTGTGAAAAATTATATGTCGATGTTTTTCCTTCTTTTGGTAGTATGAAGGTTATGGAGGAGCATTTAATTTGTTAAATCTACCATCCACTGGTGATTAAAATACCTGTCTTCGGAAGAAGCAATAATATTTTTTATTTAAGCCGTATTTACCTAAATAAAGCCTTCAGAGGACTTGAAGGCAGCTTCTTTTAATTATATTAAAATAGCTATCTTATTTGCATGTGCTAGAGGATATCATATCTTCAGTTTCACCTAATTGTTACTTCATATATGTAAGATTGGTCGTGATTAAGATGAACGAAAGATTTTTGGTTGGAAAAATTTTTCTACTTAGTTTAGGTTTCAGGAGGTGTCACATGATTAAGAAGTGGGGACTTTGTTCTTATCATCTGTAATTAAGTATTTGCAGGTCATTTATCATTGTTGACCTTTCTTTTTGGAGAAGCTTGAGAATTTTTAATTCAGACATATAAATTAGGTTCTAGTGCTCTTTGCTTATAGCTATGTCTACGAGAAAATTTGAATCTAGATGTGCCAAAAGAAAAAGGAAAGAAAATGTTGAAAAAAGTTGATTAAATCTCAAGAGGGAACACTTGATAAATTTTTTAGTAGTCACTAAAGAAGAGTTTAATGAGAATGATAACATAAATAATACAATTGAAGAAAAACATTGTTAGATGAATGAAGAGGTATCTACTGATAGAGATAATGTACATTTTTCTCTTAACCTTGTTGATCTAGCAAATTGAGAAAATATGAATACGAATGTAAAAGATTTAATTGTAATGAAAGGTCCTGTAAGAGACAATAATGTGATTTTTCCGAAAAATGTAGCAAATCGACACTTCTCATCTACATATTACGTTCGACGATTACCTAATGGAGAGAAGCATGATAGAAAATGTTTGATATATTCAAAATGTTTGAATAAAGTATTTTGATTTTGTTTTAAGTTATTCAAGAATGAGGGGATCAGAATTCAATTGGCACATGATGGAGAAAATGATTGGAAAAATATTGGTGAAAAAATTAAAATGTATGAAGTAAGTTGTGACCACATCAATAACATGAGTAGATGGATTGACATGAAACTAAGATTTGAAAAGAGTATAACAATTGATAAAAGTGTGCAAAAACAAATCAATAGATATAAAGAACGTGGAAAAAAAGTATTACTGAGAATAATATCTGTGGTGAAAACTATTCCTGAAAATAATTTAGCATTTCGTGGAGATAATGAGAAGATATACCAATAAAATAATGGTATCTTCTTAAGTATAATTCAAATGATTGCTAAGTTTGATCCCATAATCAGTGACAGACCCAGGATTTTTGGTTAGCACGGGCGACCATGAATCGTCGACCGTTGTCAGCAATAAAATATTAAGAGTCTCGTTTGATACCCATTTTTTTGCAAAAAAACGCATTTTGGAATAGTAATTTGATAGAGAATATGTGGTTAAAAATAAGAAATTTTTTTGAATTTGAATGTAATTATTGAAAAATATGCGATTGAAAAAAAGATGTATTTTGAAAACAAAAAAGAATCAAACAAGGTCTACAATTTAAATATAACAATTATTTTGTTCAAACTGAATATACATAATTTTGTTGTAAAAATTATCAATATTTACCAAATGATATTGTAGCCAAGTTTTATATAATTCAAAGGAAGAGCACGGGTTCAAATTTTTAGAATTGCATTAAACTCACTAAAATGTAACATATATTATTGTGATAGGATTAGAATCAAATTCAAGGAGTGTCACAATGGTCAAGCTCTCAATATCCTAAGGAGAAGTCACAGTTTCAAATCACCCCTCCATCCCATTTAATTTTGGTAAAAGGTAAAAATTAAAAAATTAAAAATCTTACACAATAAAAGTGATAGGAAAGGATTTCAAAACCAAAACCTCCTATATGAATATAGGAGCTCTACCCAAACGAGCTATAAGAAATGTTTGAAAATAAAACAAATTACCATGTATATAATCTAAAAAGTTTATTCATTGTCAACCAAAAAAAAAAGTTTATTCATTGTCTATAATATTGAGATGTGTAGATATTTCAGCAAGTCCAGTGAAGGTTGAATAATTTTTTTTAGGGTTTTTACTGGTGGATGATACATCTCGTAAAGGACTTTTTGATGAACTTGTGGGTGCTTTGAATAATCTAGAACTTGATATTGATGATATAAGAAGTCAAAGCTATGATAATGGTGCTAAGATGAAAAGAAAACATAAAGGAGTTCAAAATAGACTATTACACCTAAATCCTAGAGCATTCTACACTCCTTGTGGGTGTCATAGTCTTAATCTTGCACTTTGTGATATGGTTATTTGTTGTTCAAAAGCTAAATCTTTCTTTGGGGGTGGTCCAACGTATATACACTTTATTTTCGTCATAATTTTCAAAGAGAATGTGAATGGTCTTACCATTTGTCACAAACTCATTAGGAAAGCCAATTGTATGTTGGACGTAATATCATAAAAGGATATAATTTTATGGTTTCCATAAATGAAATGAAGATTTTGAGCCTTATATTATGTAGCGAGGGGGTAATTACGTGCTAAATACTAAGAAAAGACAGAAAGAGATTGGTAGTTTAATGGATTAATTGTAAGAGGGATGTGATTTGAAGATTTTTATTTTTACTGATTCCAGTATTATTGGAATAAAAAAAAATACATAGTAAAACTTGAATTTTTTGTATAAGATGTGTATGCAAGTGTAATTTCCCCACGTATAAAATATGGTCCTTAAAAGTGTAACTTGCTCATTTACAGGACCCATGAATCAGTGAGATGTGCATGAGATGCAAAAATTGGGGTTTCTTGAGTAATGATCATGNACTATTACAACTAAATCCTAGAGCATTCTATAGCCCTTATAGGCGTTATAGTCTTAATCTTGCACTTTGTGATATGGTTATTTGTTGTTCAAAAGCTAAATCTTTCTTTGGGGGTGGTCCAACGTATATACACTTTATTTTCGTCATAATTTTCAAAGAGAATGTGAATGGTCTTACCATTTGTCACAAACTCATTAGGAAAGCCAATTGTATGTTGGACGTAATATCATAAAAGGATATAATTTTATGGTTTCCATAAATGAAATGAAGATTTTGAGCCTTATATTATGTAGCGAGGGGGTAATTACGTGCTAAATACTAAGAAAAGACAGAAAGAGATTGGTAGTTTAATGGATTAATTGTAAGAGGGATGTGATTTGAAGATTTTTATTTTTACTGATTCCAGTATTATTGGAATAAAAAAAAATACATAGTAAAACTTGAATTTTTTGTATAAGATGTGTATGCAAGTGTAATTTCCCCACGTATAAAATATGGTCCTTAAAAGTGTAACTTGCTCATTTACAGGACCCATGAATCAGTGAGATGTGCATGAGATGCAAAAATTGGGGTTTCTTGAGTAATGATCATGGGTTATAATGATTTTGGGATTGAATAGGGGCTGAGTAATTAGGATTGAGTTTTCTTAGATACCATTTTTACCTTAATATTACAGTAATAACGTGATTAAAAACATTGAAATGCAGTATATGAATATTTATTAAAATTGGTTGGGATGTGTAATTTTCACTTGATTTAAGAAAAAATCACATATAATCAAGTGACTTAAAACAATTCATGAAATATTACACATTAGTTTATATATTATAATTACTCGGTATCATTGAATAAAAAAACAAAAATACTGGCTCAAAAAAAGTTGCTCTTATTTTTTGGTAACTGAAGCATTGCATTAGCCAATAACACAGCCCACCATTAATTTTAATTGAAATTACGAAATTGAAGAAGGAGCATTGCA